AAAGACAACTGTCCTACCTTAAAGACGAATTACAGACATGCTCTGAAGAGGCCCATCTTTCAAGGGTGAATAGAACAGCACTTAACAAAGCCTTCCAACTGGTTAAATTTAGGACAAGGAAAAAAAAAAAAAAACCGGACCCAAGAATAATCTCTGGCCTTGAGCCCAGGGTCCTTTTCCTTTTTGAGTGAATTTGGTACATTTTCATTCATGTGGGAACTGTTGCCTCCCAGCATTTTATTCTGGGATGGAAGGTCAACAATGACTGCCTTGTTGCTAAATCCAGCGGACACTTCTCAGTTATTAACCTACTTGACCTCTCAACAACATTTGACATTGAGGACAATTATCTCCTTCTTCATGCGGCCCTGGTTCTCCTTCTCCTCCTACGGCTTTTCTTTCTCCATCTGTCCTCTTCCTGGTTCTGTCCCCAGCCTTCCTCTTACACTGAATGTCCTCCTTGGGAGTGCTCTCTCTCTCTCTCTCTCTCTCTCTCTCTCTCTCTCTCTGTAATATTTTCTAGTTATAGATGGATGCGATATCTTTATTTTGCTTATTTATTTTTATGTGGTGCTAAGGATCTAACCCAGTGCCTCACATGTGCGAGGCAGGTGCTCTTCCACGGAGCCCCAGCCCCAGCCCCTCCTTGGGCCTCTTATCATACATAGCTTCCCTGGGAATTCCTGAATCTGCATTTCTAGCCTGTGTATTTCCCTGAGCTCCAGACTAGTATTTCCACTTGCCATCTTCACTGAGCTGGCACAGAGGGGTTCTCCCCTTGCAGCCTCAGTCTGGGCCTCCCCCTCAGTTCAGCCCTCCCTCCCCAGTTCTCCATCTCTGTAAAGGTTACCTCTAAACATTTAATTTCTCAAGTCAGAGCTTTTCGCATTTACTCTTCCTCTCAATCACCAAGTTCTGTTGACTCTACTTCTTTCCATCCCCACTGCTACTCTACTACTTGGTTGCTGCCATCTTTTACGAATGTGACTGGAAAAGACTTCTCTTAACCACTTTCTGCTTCCAACTCTCATATCCCCCCCCCACCCCCCATGCGAGATTCACCAGAGTGATCTTTCTAAAATAGGAATTAAATCTTGAAAGTCTTACAGAATCGGCCTTTAAAACTGTCTGGACTTCCTAGATTTTTTTTTTTTTTTTTTGGTTCTAGGGTTTGAACTCAGGGGCTCTTACCACTGAGCCACATCCCCAGCCCTTTATAAAATATTTTATTTAGAGAAAGCTCTTGCTGAGTTGCTTAGGGCCTTGCTTAGTTGCTGAGGCTGGCTTTGAACTCAGAATCCTCCTGCTTTAGCCTTCTGAGCTGCTGGGATTACAGGCATGTGCCACCGTGCCCAGCTAGACTTCTTGGAATTTTTCCCAGTAGAGTTTTGGTTTTCTTTTGTATTTTCTTTCTGGTTAGTGATCTATTAAACATCATAAATCTATAATGTATATATATAACATCCATTAGATCTACAAGTATAGCTCTAGACATCTAGTCAAACTCTTGTATTAATTTTAGTTAATACTTTCTAGAAAATTATTTATTTCCCCTCAAATTTTCAAATTTATAAGTTGCAACATTTTTTCTTATAATTAACAAATTACCTTTATATCTTAGTTTCCTCCTCTTTCCTAAACTTATTTGTAGCTTTCTTTGCTAAGTTTTGCCAGAAGTCGATTTCATTGATTTGGGGGGGCAGGGTACTGGAGATTGAACTCAGGGGCACTCAACCACTGAGCCACATCCCCAGCCCTATTTTGTATTATTTTTTTTTTTGAGTTGCTTAGTGCCTTGCTTTTCCTGAGGCTGGCTTTGAACTCACAGTCCTCCTGTCTCAGCCTCCTGAGCCATTGGGGTTACAGGTGCACGCCAATGTGCCTGGATGTTTTATTGATCTTTTCAAAGGCCATGTTTTGATTTTATTGTTGAAGTCTCTTTTTTCTTTAAATAAATTTCAACTTTAAAAATTTCCTCTGAATTAGCTTATTTATCTTTCAACTTTTTGAAATGAATCTATTTTTCTTCTCTAAATAAAACGATTTTTCCCCTTGGACTTTCTATTCTATCGATCTGTTTGTCCTTTCTTTCTGGTATAACATTATTAAAACATTATTTAACATCTGGCAGTCCAAGTCTCCTTTATTATTATTTTACAAAATTTTCTTGGTTATTGGACCAGATGGCATCTTAAAGTCACAAAGATCTTTGATAGTTAATGTAAAAATGCACCCAAATAAATCCTTTTAGTTCCTTCTTTCCAAACTCAAATATTCATTATTTTTGCAGTCTTCAAAAAATGTCTATCATCAATCTGTGTTTGCATGTGGCATGTTTAAATGTATTTTATGTGTGTGCATGTGTGTGTGTGCATTTGATGCATGTATAGCATGCGGGGTGTGTTTGTATATAGGTGTGAAGTGTGAGTGTAGTGTGTTGTGTGTATGCATGTGGGGTGTGTTAAGGTATGTGTGGTCTGTGTGTGTGCAGGATGTGTGCCATGTGTATTTTTGTGCTGTGGGTGTGTGCCAAGTGAATTTATGTACATGTAGAGTGTGTGTGAGTGCAAGTGGCGTGAAAAAGAGATACTGAGACCCTAGAGGGTGCTTGAGTCCCCTGGGCATGTCACAGAGAGCCAGACTTGCTTCTCAGCCCCCCTTCCTTCTTGGGGAAAACAGGGCTAGAACCTGACTCTTTCTGAATGTCAACTGTGGATGGCAATATGGGTCAGTAGGGCAAGTCCCTGCAGTGCCACTGCCCATGCTCCCACTCACTTGTCTTCCATCTCCTAAGGGAGGAAAAATGACCTGTTCTTTTAAGCAAAGGGAACTTCCAGGGACCCACTCAGTAAAGGAACATTTGCTGTGGCAGCAAAGGTGGTACAGGTGGTTCCAACAGAGGGGATCAGGATCAGGCTGGCCTTGGGTCTCCCAACTGAACAGGTTAGCTGCTGAATGGGGCAGAAGGAGTCAGGAGGGAAACTGCGAGGCAGTGGGACCTTGGTCCCGATAGCAGGTGAAGAGCATAGTATGGGCCTCTGTCCTTTGTCTCCCAGGCTACATTCAGACAATGCAATTCTCCTCCCAGGTCCGTCCCATCTTGAGTGTTGCACCTGCAAGTTGCTCGAAGCCTCCTGTCCAAGGTGCTCTTCCGCAGTATAAGGCTCTACAATGGTCTCTGGAAGAGCTGTAAAGAGGGTGACTGTCACCTTGGGCCCATAGCCCTTCTCTTCTGTGTAACCTTCCTGTGCCCTGACTTCTGAATGCCTTGCTTTATAATTCCTACCAGGAATGAACAAGCCCTCACAGTGGGCGTCCTTGGGCCATGTTTAACTCCTGCTCTGATCTTGCTCCTGTAGCGCTGTAGCACCCTGGAGCGCAGTGTCCTGTCTGCATCCTGTGGCTTGAACCTGAGGTTGCCCATTTTCCATGACTGGGTGGAGTGGCTATGCCAGGATACTTCCCTGCCCAAAATGGATGTCTGGACTCAGACTTCTCCTGCCAGGAAGAGGATCAAGCGTGCCCAAATCCAGGGTGCAGGTAAGACCATCTGCCAATGGGGAGTGAGCCCACTCCTGCTAAGGGTAGTGTTCATGGTGTGTGTGGGGTAGGTGAGGCAAGAACAGGACAGGGCTTTACACAGTACCAGGATTCAAATGATCCACCCACTTGTATGTGACTCATTTGCACTTGACCAGTAGTTTGTTGATTTTAAGCCTCCTCTAGTTTCTGCTTCCTACCAGTGGCCGGCTGAACCTGTGGCATTTAGTTTCCTTACTGCCTCAAGAAATCAGGTCTGCTGCCTCCACTTGCTGTTGACCATGGGGCAGGTGTGGAAGCCAAGGAAGAGCAGAAGGGTGACAGCCTTTGGGGCAGAGGGTCCAATTTCAGCTCTGCCTGTTCCTAGTTCTGCAAACCTTGGGCACGTCACCTACCGTTGCCACCTGGGGTTCAGATTTCTCCCCAGTAAATTGGAGCTAATACTTCCTAGGCTTAGGGGAAGATCAGATGAGATGATATGTGTTAATTGCACAGCTCAGCTTCTGGCACCTGGTACTCAATATATATAACTCTTCTCTCTTGCCTCCCCCAATCTTGTCTTGAATGGATCATGGAACCACAAATACCCACTTGGTAATGAAGTCAGGGATCAGGGACAAACACCAACACTTCCCATTTTTAGATTTACATGAGACCAGCAGCTTTCCCTCCCACAGTGGCAACAGTCAGAGATTTGCAGAGCAGATGTCTTGGTGTGAATCTGCTCCCTGGAGGTGTCTCATGAATGTTTGCCGACAAATCCACACAAGGGCTGACCTTCCTTCTAGCTCTGCCTGCTTACACCAGGCTCTGGAGATTGAAAGTGCCTACCCACTTTCCCAACTCCCCTCCCTGTCCTCAGATACTGGGGACCTGTCCTACTGTCTGATGGCACCAGGCTGCACATGGAGGACCATGAGGCTGGGTGGTGCAAGCTGCTCCCATATGTACCTGTCCTAGGATGCTCTCATCCAAGGGAGATTCAGAAGGGCAATCTGGGCTGGCAGGGTTTGGAAAGAGGTTGGAACCTCTGGTGGGGGTGGCTTGTCCAAATGCAGAGAACACTTTCCCAAACCCTACTGTCCCTGGCTAGGAGGGTGCTCCTTTGCCCTTGCTTGGGTCTGATGATTACAGGTCGGAGCTTCAAAGCTCTGGCTAATTGCAGCCTGGGGGAGCTGGGCGAGCAGGCTAAGCCCGCCCGAGTGGGCGCAACTGGCCCCTTTCAGAGCTGGCACTTCCGAGCCCCAAGTGCGGTGCTGGAGCCTGGGGTCCTGGCGCAGCCGCCAGATGCAACCAGCTCCTCTGACTGCTGGTGACTGTCCTCGTTGCTCGGGGCGCCCACGCCTCCTCCCTTTGGCCGGCGTCTGCCAGATCAGGTGGAAATCTCCCCATTCAAACCAGCGCGGGCCAATCAGGGCCGGGCGCGCGCGGCCGTTCCCCAGCGCCGCGCAGCCGGGCCTCCGCTCCCGCCCGCCGCCGCTCCAAGGCGCTGGTGCAGGGCGCGGGCGAGCCTGCTGCCCCGGTTACCCGCACAACACTGCCACCTCGGGTTACCCTGCCCCTCCCGCAGCAGGGACGCCATGGAGGGCTCCCTGCACCGAGTCTCCTTCGGGAACCAGCGCGCCCGCCGGGACCTGTCCTTCTACCTCTCCACCTTTGGTAAGTGCTTCGGGGGCAAGGCTGCCCCCCCATACCCTCAGTGGTGAAAGGCGATGTTGGGCAGCTCTCTTCCCACCTGGGAGCGACTTCTCTGGCTCCTTCCTCCTCTGATCGCCCAGAAGGGCTCAGGGAACAGGCTCAGGCGCAGCGAGTCGCGGGACACCACCTGCTGCCCGGCCGCTGGTGCCAGCTGCAGTTGGTTCTGCCTCACTTGGCTGGAATAATCACGCTCCAGTTAATCTTTCAGAGACCCGGCTTGTCACCACGGAGTTTCCCATTAGCAGGCAGCTCCAGTGCAATCAAGGTTCAGTTTCTGGATATCTCATTCACCCACTTTCCTTTGACTCAGCGACTCAACAGGTGCAGGGTCAGTCCAGGTAGCCTTGCCTCCTGTGGCGCACCCTGGAGGCTGTAATCTGACTTCTTCAATGGGTATCTGGCTTGCAGTCGAGGTGGGAGAATTCTCTCCTCCAAGACAGACCTTGGCAGACTCCCAGGGCTGCCCTTCAACTTAAAGTGGAGAAAGGGGCAGTAGGCCTCCACTCCCAAGCTGCTAAGTTTGCAGATGGAGTTCTTCCAAATACCAGCTGGGCAGCGGCTGTCACAAAGGCCTGGACAAACCTGACCTTCCAAGTATCCATAGTAAAGATAACAGCCCTTCTCTAGAGTACAGCCCTTGTTTCTTCCCTGGGCTTGCAACTCCCTGTGCAGAGGGGTTATTTTTCCTCTGTGAAGGCTTGGGCCCAGAGAGAGGAAGATCTCTCATGAGCCAAGACTTGTACCTGAACTTGAACCTTCTGGAAATGTTAACTTCTGTGGGGGTGTTCACTTCAGGGGAGGGCTTTGCAAGCTGAGTCTAGGACCTGACTACTCTAGAGGGAAATTTTTTCTTCATTGTAATAATTGGTGTACTTTGAAGAAGACGTTAGAAGTATACATAATATTTTCCCTAGGATTATCTCTTTTGTTTTGATTAGGATATTCATTAACATTTTTTTTGATAAAAATTTTGTTGAGATATAATTCACATACATACAATTCATTTATTTAAAGTGTACAATTCAATGGGAATTGCACAAACATTACCACAGTTATTTTTATAACATTTTCATTGCGTCATCTCAAGTCTAGGTGATCACTAATCTACTTTCTGTCTCTATAGACTTGCCTATTTTGAACATTTTATATAAAAGGAATCATATAATACATGTTTATCTGGGACTGACTTCTTTCACTTATGATGTTTTCAAGGTTTAATTATGTTGTAGCATGTGTCATTTCATTCATTTTTATGGCTGAATAATATTCTGTTGTATGGACATACCACATCCTGTTTATCCATCCATCTGTTGTTGAATATTTAAGTTGCCTTCACTTTTTGGCTATTATGAATAGTGCTGCCACAAACATTTATGTACAAGTTTTTGTGTGGACAGATGTCCTTTTTTCTCTCTTATACCTATGAGTAGAATTCTTGGATCATATGTTAACTCTGTGTTTATCTAGCTGAGGAACTGTCAAACTTTTCCACACTGTCTGCACCATTTTACACCATCAGCAATGAATGCAGGTTTTGCTTTCTTCACATCCTCACTGATACTTCTTATTATCTGACTTTTTAGTTCCAGCGATCCCAGTGAATTGTAAAGCGGTATCTTATTATGGTTTGCATTTGCATTTTCCTAAACACCAGTGATGTTGAGCCTTTTTAATATGCTTATTGATATTTGCATATATTCTTCATAGAAATAGTCTTCAGACTCCTTTGTTCATTTTTAAATTGGGCAATTTTTTTCTATTACTGAGTTAGAAGAGTTTTTTCCTATATTCTAGATGTAAACCCCTTATCAGATATATGATCTGCAAATATTTTATTTCAATCTGTAGATTTTTTCACTTTCTTTATATTGTTTTTTGAAGACCAAGTGTTTTTAATTTTGTAGAAGTCCAATTTATCTTTTCTTTTGTTGTTGGTACTTTTGATGTCATAATCTGAATCCCTTGCTAGGTGAAAGGTCACAAGATTTACTCTGCTGTCTTCTAAGAGTATCATAGTTTTGACTCTTACATTTATGTTTTAATCCACATTTAGTTAATGTTTGTATATGATATGAGCTCAGGGTCCGATTTTATTCTTTTGTATATGGCCATCCAGTTGTCCCAGTATCATTTATTGATAATATTTTTATGCCCCCTCTGGATGATCTTGGTACCTTTATTAAAAAGCAATTGAAGGATGGGATTGTGGCTCAGTAGCAGAACACTTGCCTTGCAAGTGAAGTGTGAGGCACGGGCATTAAAAAAATAAATGAACAAAATAAAGGTGTTGTGTCCATCTACAACTAAAAAAATATTTTAAAAAAGCAATTAATCATGGGATTATCTGGACTCTCAATTCTATTCCATTGATCTGTTTATCAATCATTGTGCCAGTATCACACTGTCTTACTATTGCTTTGTAGTTCTGTTTTGAAATTTGTTCTTCTTTTTCAAGTTTATTTGGACTGTCCTGGGTCCCTTGAGTTTCCATCTGAATTTTGGGTAGAATATTTTATATAGAAAATAAAAATCAAATTCACAAAAAATATGGATAAATATTTATAGAGTGTCTTATTGAAGGGATTCCAGTGTATCAGCTTGCCTGATGAGCCAATTTATTAACCTGTCTGCAGTCTCTGAACCAAATTGTCACCCTCCTTAAGGTCTCTGTATCCTGGAAGTGATGAGTGATCCGGCGGAGAACAGGTTGCCCTTTCTGCAGGGTGTGTGGGCCAGGAGACGATGGGCAGGCTGGATGTGTCCTGAGGGATGTAGGTAGCTGTGGATGTGGAAGACAACTCACTTCTCTTTAGAAATGCCACCCCCAGGTGAACCTGCAAGATGGGAGCCGTGGGGAGGAGCTCTAAGTGCAGGCTCTAGCGTGGGCCTGTGGTGTCAGGTTCGTCATGCTCCGTGATCCCTGTGTTCAGCCCTCCCAGGGTTGGCTCTGGAAACCGTCCATTCTCAGGAGCTCATCCCGTGCTGGTTGGAGTCTTCAGAGTTTACTGCTTTTCCTCTCTTGGAATCCATCTGCTTGGGAGCTTTCAGAGATTCCTCACAGCTTCTGATGGCTCAATAGCTCTCTGTTCTTTTTCTTTTTTCTTTAATTCTGTGGATGCTCCTTTTAAATCTTTTCTATTATGAAGTATTACAAACATATAGAAAAGTGCCCCCTCGCCGCTGGGACAGTTCAGTGACTTATCATAAAGCATGTACCTTTCTTTCACCAGAGTCAAAATTGAATACTACCAATATCCAGAAGCTCATGTCTGATATATAAATTATAATTCAGTTCAAAATATTTTCTAGTTTCCATTGTTATTTCTCCTCCAATCCATGGATAATCTAGAAGTATATTTCTTAATTTCCAAATTTTTTTTCTAGCAATGTTTTTGTTGTTTATTTTATATTTTGATCAGAAAACATCCTCTGTATCCAGCAATTTTTTTGAAATTCATTGAGGTTTGCTCGATGGCCCAGCAGATAGCCTGTTTTTCTAGGTGTTTTCTGAGCCCTCCGAAAGAATTTTGCAGCAGTTGTATGAAGCGTTCTTTGCAAATGTCAAGTTTAGGTCAAACTTGCTAATTACATTGCTCTAATATTTTGTATCCTTGTTGATTTTTTTCCCCCAGTTTGTTCTATCAGTTACCAAGTGAGGTGTGTTAAAAATTCCCACTATAATTGTAAACTTGTCTACTTTCCATTGGAGTTGTGAGTTTTTCCTTTATATATTTTGAAGCTATATTAAGAACATGCAAATTTAGAATGATTATCTTTCTGGTGAATAGAAGCTTTTGTTATGAAATCTTCTTTTGCTATGAAGATTTCTCCTTATTTCTAGATAAAATCTACTTTTCCTGATATTAACGTTGCTACCCGTCATAACATTTGCCTGGCATGCCTTTTCTAATCCTTCGCTCACTCCCCTCCTCTATGTCTAAACCAAAGAGCATCTTTCTTCTTGAAGACCTGAGATGATGTCTTCCTTCAAAAAGACCTTTATTTGCTTGTCACTTTGTGGGGTCACTAGCTAGCATTCTGCAATGATCATTTCCTCCTCCTCCTCCCCCTCCTCTTCTTCCTCCTCCTCCTCCTCTTCTCCCCCTTCTCTTCCCTCTCCCTCTCCTCTGACAATGTTGCTGGGGCTGGTCTTGAACTCCTGGGCTCAGGTGATCCTCCCACCTTAGCCTCCTGAGTAGTAGGATAATCTTAATTAAATGTTAGGGACTGAGATTATTTGAGGTTGAGCTATGGTCCCTTGAGGAGCTGTGTGTGGTTATAATTTCCCCTATTCCTAAGGAGCAACCCTTTAGGGTCCCAGACGGTAGGGGCTCAGAAGAACTTGACTTTTCGGGATGCCCTGTTCTCTGAGCCCTTTTTCCTCAAGACCTGAGAGGTGGCTGAGAACTCTGCTTGGCCCTTCAGCTGTCCCCCTGGAGTCTGGAGATATCTCAGGAGGAATTAGCTCAGGGAGACACTAGGTGAACTTCTGCAGCCCTCCATCCCCCAGGGGTGTTCAGCTCTTCCTGTCTATCTGGTTATGGCTCTGAGAAGATGCTTTTAACATTTTGTATATTTTTCCAGTTTTCCTCAGTGGCTCTGCCACCCCAGACATGGAAGTCTCCACCACACATTTCTAGTGGCTGTGCCCTCTGTGCTAGGCACTTCACACGCATTGGTTTTCACAGCCCAGTGACAGCCGAATTGCACCAGCATCTGCACAAAACCCACACTTGTTCATAGTTCCCTGCTTCTTCTCTTGTTTTTTTTTTTTTTTCCTTGTATTAAACTTGTTCCTCTGGAAAACCTTATTTGGTAATTTAAAAAAAAACATTAATGTGAAAGATAATGAAAATAAATTATGGATTCCCTTGTGTGGCTTCAAGCCATCCGCAAGCACATAACAGATGCTCATCATTATAAAATAATACATATTTAATTATGGAGAAAAAGTTGCAATA